AAAATTTTATACAGTATTTTATTAATATTAAAATTTCAATGCTTTGTCATTGTTTTTATATAAGGATTCATACAACCTTGATGTATTTATTGGTAGCCTGTCGATCTTTCAAATTTCGAGTCCAAATTGAAGAAGCTGGTGTCCCTACAGAAAGAACAACTGAATTATTATAAGAATGATCTTCTTCTCGAATCGGTATACGCGAGTAGTACACGTAAAACTAATATTACATATCATTGTTCAAACTCTGCAATAGTGTTGATGCTTAAGAGAAACAGAATACTTGAATATCGAAATCTTGCTTACTCATGCCTCACGAACTCCGCCTAGCATCAATTAGAATCCTCGACAAACGATATTAGTTGAATTCGACATAGAGAAGTCTATTTAAAATTAAAATACTGACACTTAAAAGAGTCGAAATAATAAAAATTCGAAATATAGCTTGATCATGTCTCATGAACTCCGCCTAGCATCAATTAGAATCTTCGATAAACGATATCAGTTGAATTTTACATGTGAAATTCTGTTTAAAATAAAATTACTGATTCTTAAAAGAGACAGAATATTCGAACGTGAGAATCTTGCTTGGTCATGTCTCACGACCTCCGCCTCTCATCTATTAGAATCCTCGATAAAGCATATCAGTCGAATTCGACATAGAAAACTCCATTTGGAATTGAACTACTACAAAGAATCCTCTCGGTCCTTTCTATTGTCGTCTCTATCGGCGTTGTCGTGTCACGGGTACACAAGTCGCAAGAAGTGACAGAAGAAATGAAAAAGGCATCCGCGAGCGAGATCAATACCTCCCCGGTGCAACGTACTCTCGCGTTCTGGCAAACCGGAAGTCGAATTCGACCGAAGATATTATAAACTAGTTCACATAAACATGGACTCAGTTTAAAATTACACAAAATCAATACATATAGAATCTTGAAATCTGGCTAACATAATTTCTCATAAATTGATTCTACTTGATTTGAAATCCAGTTCGTTTGGATGACTACCACCCGACCTACTATTTGGTACTTGACGCAGTTTTTCTTATCTATGCGGGGGCGGCCAGGTTTTTCATTTGAAAACAACAAGCTCGGTGAAGACGGTAGCGGAAACTAGTTCCGGCCAAGATCAATACCTAAGTTGTGCAACAGACTGTCTGGCGCAAGCCTTGTGCCTCGGTTGCGTGTGGCCTCGTGCGCGACACGCAGCGGCGTGCAACGCCTCGGTGCAACGTGCAATGCCACCGATCTGCTCCCGCCACGGGCACACGCACAGCTAGCCTCATCTAGTCGGCCATTGGCTAGGTCAGTGCAATTGATATTAACCCCGCGTCTCTTCGCACTCTCCCAAATTTTCAAAACTGATTCCGGTCTCCACAGAAATTCAGTTCAAACCAGGATTATGTATTCCGCTAGGATTCACCCTAGAAGACAAAGTTTGAGATTAACACTAGAAAGCCTGAAACTTAGTATATACCTATATTGCCCAAAGCAGTAAAAATGACTGCATTGTGAAAGAATAATGTGTAAAGAGATTTGTCTAAAATTAATTTTTAATATTT